GGCCGGCAGCGCCGGTCCGGCCGTTGCCCTGGCGTGTGGCGATGTGCCGGAGCCGGGAACCGGTGTTTCGGCTTCCACTGGGGGCTCCAGGCAGGTTTTCTTGTCCGTGCTCCCCGGGCAAAGCTGCGCTGGTGCGGCGTGGACAAGTAGTGGCCGACGCCCTCGTCGCTCTGGGCCCTCGTCCGCGGCCGAGCCTACGTTTTTCCTTTGAGCCGGGAGCGCTGCAGGACACCACTCCTGTGGAAGTTAATAGGGCTTTTTGCTGTGCTGTTTTATACATCTGTGATGTCTTCAGGTGCTGTGCAGCCAGTGAAGCAGGTCGCAGGCTGTTGCTGTAAAATACCTGAAGAACTGAGCTCAGATGCAGAGGTCAACTACAGGAGTCTCTCCTTTCAGAAAAGATGTCTAAATGTTATGTGGATGTTTCAAGGACCAAGTGTTGAATTTAAGACATCACGTTCTTTCTTGGATGCGGACTTTGAAACTGAATTGCCACTGTACCTTTCTTCATCAGTTTCCTTACCCATAAGAGCTTTGATACATTGATATCTTTGACAATAGGTGTCATATAATATACAAATATCTTTTTGACTTAAATGTTTTCTGTATAACAAGCGGTCCTATCACAACTGCATCTGCTCTTTATTCCCTAATTAACTTGGAGTAAATTTTGGATGTTTGACTTATCTCCTAGTGGCAACAGTACCTAAGCGTGTTGAAATGAACTGACTTATCTCTTACTTGCCTGGAAAAGTCTTGAGCAAGAGCCAAAACGCTGGTATTGTATCCAGGATGATTGTTTCTGCACAGTTCGTATTTGGAAAGTTATTTGCCCAGATTTGATAGCTGGAGGTTAATCTGTAATTATTAATTCATTTTCATCAAGAAGTATTTCTGGTTTTGTTGACCAGTAGGTAACACACACCTTTTGAATGTAGTCAAGCCATTCAGTGAAAAGCCACTATGTGGTCTAGATGACAAATACCAAGAACAAGCTACAGCATAGGTCAGAGTCTACACTTACGAAGTGTCAGTTTGATTTAAATTGCAGATCTTCCCACATTCATTAGGACTTTTTCCTCTGAACCTCTTAAGTTATATAAATACATTATGTGCCCTCAAAAAATTATATACCCTTAAAACGTGTGTTTTGGAAAAGATAGCTAACATAGTAATCTTTTTTTTTTTCTTCTATATGTAACACTTAATCTTGAAGAAGTAATACAAGAGAAAAGACAAGAAGCAAAATATTAGTAAAAATATATTGTCCTTGAAAAAATTGTTCTGCCACTTTTGTAACTGCTTTGTTTATCATAAAATAAGGATACCTTTTATAATGGAGAGAACAAGGAAAAGGGGAAGGAAGACTTTGCCTATAAACTAAATGCATAATTCTAGTCAGCTTGATAAATTATGCATGATGAAGTTGAGTTTCAGATATACTACAAACTTCTGAATGTTTCCTAAGTGCTGTGTGTATTTTGGAATTTTCTGTCTCTTGTTTGTTTTCAGGAGAGCCATATCGTCTCTTAAGTGGTACAGAATATGTTGTTGGACGCAAAAACTGCACAATTTTAATTCAGGGTGATCAGTCCCTCAGTCGAAGACATGCAGTTCTGACAGTAAGCCGTCCTGAAACAACCTCTGTAAGTAGCCAGCATTTTACTGCATTATCAGTATGCTATGTGGATAATTCAGTTTGCCATCACCACACATATTCTCATTTCTCTCTCACTGGTGTTTTATGCCTGGAGTAGAACCATTCCTCACCTGCCTTTTCTGAACCTTGACTGGCTTTTTTCCTCTGGGCTGCTTGCCTGTGTTGAGAAATTTAGTGGCATGATTCTACTAGTCCAAGCCCCTGTTTGAGCATTCCTTTTATCCCAGAGTGAAGGTTCACTAGGAATTTGTAATAAAATAATGATAGCAGGATAATGATGCAATTAAATTTCATTATGTAGGCAAATTTTAGGCCTTTTGTTCTGGAAAGTGCTTTAGTTGTCTTACTGCAGGCTTGGTTTGTGTTTCGGATCAATCCCAAGCACAAATACACGCTGGGCGGAGAATGGATTGAGAGCAGCCCTGCTGAGAAGGACTTTGGGGTGTTGGTTGATGATGAGCTCAACATGAGCTGGCAAGGTGCGCTCACAGCCCAGGCCAGCTGTATCCTGGCTGCATTAAAAGCAGCATGGCCAGCAGGTTGAGGGCGTGGATTCTGCCCCTCTACTGCGCCCTGCTAAGACCCCACCTGGAGTCCTGCATCCAGCTCTGCAGCCTTCAGCACAGGAAAGACATGGTCCAGTTGGAGCAGGTCCAGAGGAGGGCCATAAAGATGATCAGAGGGATCATGGAACACCTCTCCTATGAAGACAGGCTGAGAGAGTTGGGGTTGTTCAGCCTGGAGAAGAGAATGTTCTAGAGAGACCTTGTTGCAGCCTTCCAGTACCTAAAGGGGTCCTACAAGAAAGCTGGGGATGGACTTTTTACAAGGGCATGTAGTGAAAGGACAAGGGGTAAAGGCTTTAAACTGAGAAAGGGTAGATTTAGATTAGATATAAAGAAGAAATTCTTTACTATGAGGGTGGTGAGAGTGGAACAGGTTGCCCAGAGAAGTTGTGGATGCCCCCTCCCTGGAAGTGTTCAAGGTCAGGTACGATGGGGCTTTGAGCAACCTGGTCTACTGGAAGATGTCCCTGGTCATGACAGGGGGGTTAGAACTAGATGATCTTTAAGGTCCTTTCCAACCCAAACCATTCTGTGATTCATTCCTCATTATTAATTCTGGTTTTGCTTAAGGGACTGAAAATAAAAATGTCCCGAGAAGGATTAGCAAGGAACAATTTACTGTCACTTATGTGTTGCAGTGTTTATGGACATTTTGAAGCCAGTCAGCAGGA